CTGAGACTTCCTTTTCTGAACGCAAGAGTTTCCAAAATAAGGCGGAGTGTCGACACGCCCAAAAGCGATGATAGCTTGTCTCCTCTCATCCACGTGTGACACAAAAGACTCCAGCCTTAGTTTTATGGCAATGAAGTTCACACCCGACCGCCAGCTTGTTCCTCATAAGCCTCCACATATGGATCTTCACTTTACTCGGCGCGCAAGTGTTCCACAAAAGACAACCAACTCTTGTGGTTTCTGACGAATAAGGAAGACTTCGGTCGTCTAGTCTTCACTATGTCGAGGACAAAGAGGAGAGGCAACAAAGGGTCCCCTTGCCAGAGTTGTCTTCCGCGTGGAATGGGGTATCCGAAAGCCCCATTGAGGAGAACCCTGGAGGATGAGGTGCGCCACAGAGAAGCGACCCAATTCTAGAAACATGAGGGGAAGCGTTGCTTCTACACGAGGTCTAACAGATACTGCCACTTGACAGAGTCAAAGGTATGCTTGATGTCAAGCTTTAAGAGCATAGATGGAGTATTCGTCCTTTTCAATCTTCATGCATAATTCCTAACGAATATGAAGTTCTCATGAATTTTTCTAGTCTTAATGAAGGCACTTTGGACGCTCGATATGAGGGTGTTCATGAAAGGGATCATGTTGGCACCATCAATATTTATTAAAACCACGTAAGTTGGAGAAGGCCCTATCCAACGACTAGACCATCATCCATGGTCAGGGAAACCTCCTTAACCATAAGCTCTAACAGGGTGGAGGGGTGGAGATCGTCATAAAAAAGTTCATGCCCTCCGGTCTTATAATTCGTTAGCTTGTTTGTTAATTGTTACTAGACCCCAGCATAATCCTTCTACTATATATGGTGCGGCAGTAACGTTGCTTATGGTGGGCAATGCCGTGTGAACTGGCAGCTGAGTTTGGTGCCCTCTGGGTCTCGGTGGGTTGGGAATTCATGATCTACAATGAACGGGTGTGGCTCTTTGCACGCGCTGGCTTTGGCTCAAGAACTCAACCGCTTCCCGTCCTTGGCACCACCTCCCCTTCAACCACGACAACGACGTTCATGCCATCTTTCGAGCTTGCACGACATGGCATGTGGGAGACGGCCACTCATGCCTGTTTTGAGAAAATCACTGGTTACTAGAGCATTCGATCGCAAAGATTGCATCGGCAGTGTTTGATATGGTTCCCAAGAGACAACGAAAGCGACGCACGGCTACTGAGGGCATCTACAAGCGATCTTGGGTGCAAGACATGCATCTCTCTCTCTCTCTCTCTCTCTCTCTCTCTCTCTCTCTCTCTCTCTCTCTCAATGGAGGCCACCGTCCAATACATCGGGTTATGGAAGAGTGTTCAGTTTCCTTAGTTATCAAATGAGCCTGACCAACTCTCATGGATGATGATCGCCAACGGATCCTACTCTATTGCCTCCTGCTACTCGGCGATGCTTTTCGACTCCACCACGGCATATCGATGGCGGCTCAACTGGCAATCTTTGGCGCCATTGAGAACCAAGATCTTCATCTGCTCGCTCTCCAACACCGGTGTTGGACCGCCTACAGGCTGCTCTGACGTGGACTAGCGCATGCGCCAAACTGTGTGCTTTGTGACCAAGTATCTGAGCCTGACCAACACCTGCTTGTGAAGGCCAAGACCTGGGCTGCCACCCGGGCTAGCAGCTATTCTGCCCGAGACGAAGCCTAGGGTGATCCGCCGACAAACATTGTTGCCCTTCCTCGCGAAACCCACGTCATGTATTCGCGTTCGTGGCTTGTCGGTGGGCCTTATTGTAACTCCTTTTCTCTCCTATCAATGAAATGATATGCAAGTCTTTTGCGTATTTGAGAAGAAAAAATCTTCCTTCTAGCATTCAACGAAAGCCGCTTGCTTTTGTTGAAGAAATGCCGGCGCTCAAGAAAAGTAGTCTATGAAGTTAAAACGCTGCAATGACACTTCACAATCACTCTGTTTCTCATAACCGTGAACAGAAACAGCATTTCATACGTTAGGATCGCACTATCCTCCCGTGTAGGAAGCGTAGGAGAGACTTGTCGTCTTGGCATGCACCGATGTTTCGTCCCCGTGTGTCATTTACTCATTTCCTCTAGCAGTACTTTGATGCAGTTGACCAATGCCAACCCAGTCAGCACGCCGGCCCTCGTCGACGACGAAGGTTCGCCGCAGATAAGCACGGCGAGGAAGGAAGGAAGGGCGGAACCGTCACCTTTAGCCACCCACCGACGAGAGCGACGTTGCAGCCATTGCCGCGTGGATTTCTTCCTTTAATCTAAGGAAACCGTCAACCAGTCTCTTTGTCAAGACGGCGGCGATCGACGCGTCTAAGCAACCCACCGGATGCCGCATGCGCGCGTGCATCTCCCTATAAGTAGACGCTCGATGACGCTGTTTCCACTCCATCCCGTTCTGTCCAGTCCTAGCTAGTTCCTCCTCCTCCTTCCTCCTCCTCTCCTGATCTTGATTGGTAGAATATCTGTTAGTTGCGTCAGAACTCAGAGGAACAGAGCATTGTTTTGCTAGCTCCTCCTGCAACTCGACCATGAGCTACCAGCAGGGTACGTACCAATTTCCTTCTGACGGTTCGTAGAAATCACCAGCGAGCGTGTTTGGTTGTTGAATTCTGAGTGTATCGTTCTGTTTTCTTCGGGTTATGCAGGCTACCCGCCGCCGGGCACCGCAGCAGCGTACCCTCCGCCGGGGCAGCACCAGCAGGCCTACATCGCGCCGCCGCCGTCCACGTACCCGCAGGACCAACAGTACCCTCCCGCCGGCGCCGACACCACCAGCCGCGGCGGGCACGGACACGGCGGCGACGGCTTCTTGAAAGGATGGTAATTTTTCTCTCTCCCTTGTTTCGAATTCTCACCCGGCTCGGACACTGACACACACGTCTTCGTCGTATCCGTAGCCACATTTGTCATGAACTACTAATAATGTTTGTCTGCTTCTTGTGTCGTTGCAGCTGCGCGGCGCTCTGCTGCTGCTGCCTCCTCGACGCCTGCTTCTGATCGAGCTTGTCCAGTGTTGTCCGACCGTCATTAACTCATGATCAGGCACGGCATATAGATTATCGTCATGATCGAGTTTGAGTACTAGTCCCAGAGCACGATTTTCGTGTGTTTAATCGCGTGCGTTGTTTTGTTTCCATTCGTATGATCCAGATAGATAGCCATGTGGTTATTCAATAAAATGCATATTCTCTTACCTTGTTGGCAGCGATGATCGAATTATTCGCGGGTATTTCACAATAGTTAATTGGCATCCATCTGATGTTGCAATGTTGTTGATCCATCTGGCTAATCCAGCACTCATACTGGAAGCATTTTTACAAGAGCTATGTTGCTTTTCTAAAGAGCAGTATAGGTTCTCATGCGACTGTGACTCCCACGAGGCTTGTCCGCGGGTATCACCAAATAAAATGCTTGATCTACTTTCCTGGATATATACAGGAGCTAGCTAAGCACATTCATTTGCTCACAACGCAAAAAATGCACAACGCTCAGCAAGTTTGATCTCCGTCGTAATCACCAAATAAAATACACCATTCCCCTAAACAAAAATACACAACAACAATCACAAAGAAAGATGATTTTTATAACCTGAACGAACGGGCAATGATGCAGGTCAAAGGCAAGATAAACAGAGGGGCAATAATCCATACGCTGACGAGTGGACTTTGCACTGTCAGTTCCTAACGCCACACCAGGTTCACATGGCCAAGATAGATATAGGCGTAATAATAATTGTACAGGTCCAGGCAAGGTTGCCTACAAATCACATTCAGTGAACGAAATCATGCAGTACAACATACGTCTTCCTGACTTCAGGTGCATTAGACCAGTTCTTCAAGGCAAACAGCCCCAAAGTACGGAAGCCGACCGGTGCATCCATTTCATCACCATCCACCAAGTGCTCTGTGATATAACAATTCACATGTTAGATCATCAAAGACAAACTAACACGTACACACAAATAGTTCCCAAACTATCTGCAACCAACGTACTAGTGCCTCACTATAGTTATCACAAATAACCACAATAGGAAGCGTTAGACATATGTTCCCATGTGACTTTTTGCTAATTTTATTTAATCAAGTATAGAAACCAAGAGGAAACCCAAATATAATGTCCACTCATTGCCTACATGTACTTTCAAATTTGATGCTCGTGCTCATTGCAAACTTATATAGTAGGAGTAATATATAACCAAGCACTATTTTGACTGGGTCGGCTTTCCGTGTTTCTCTTCAAGTCAAGAAGCCAAGTCGAACCTAATACTCCCTCCGTCCCATAATATAAGGCGTTTTTGCAAGCTAGTATGTTTTTGCAAGCTAACATAGCTTGCAAAAACTCTTATATTGTGGGACGGACGGAGTAAAATTCAGTAAGCTTTCTGTGTTTCTCTTGCATAGTAATACTTCCAAATGGTAACCTTCGGTAGTCAAGTAGTGCATGACTTGACATTTCACCTGTTCTTTTAGCTTTAACTAGAGAATTCAGAGAAACCATAATAAAAACTTCTCACGTCAAGCTATGAAACAAATAAACAAATGGAAATTAACACCGGTTAAGGTTGTTGTCACTTGCGTGCTACACTGGCCTAATCAAATCATTCATTTCCTGCTCTACAGCTCACCCAAATGTTTTATCTTGAACTAAGATACTACTCGGATATGAATTCGGAAGCTTCAGGAAGAAGTATCACCAATGCACTGCAGCCGATAAAATTGTAAGTGACGAATACTCAGTACTGTGAATACTTACCCCAAAAAACAGCAGCAAACATCCTACTGGTCCATGCTGCAATCACCAGCATCAGGCTCATCCTCGTCTTCCTCCTTCTTCAGTTGCCCACAGGCATTGCACTCAAATACATGGGACAGCTCACCGTTCGGTAAGGGTGGCAGCGGCGCAAGCATGCCATAGCAGTCCTCACGATCACACAGATACCTCACAAAGAAGAAGGCATGCGGGAAATCGTCGTCATCGTCGTCACTCCCTTCCTCCTGCTCCATCCCCTCATCACCGCCATCTTCAGCGACCTCCTTGCCATGCTCCTCTTCCATGGTGTCATCCCCATCAGCACCATCATTATCATCATCAAACTTCCACTTGCTCTCAATCTGACACCGATCACACTCACACCGGAACCCATAATCCTCCAGCAGCCTGCGTTGCCTGTCAGCATACCTCCAATTGGCCGCGAAATAGCTGATGCAAACCTCCTTCCCCTCTGTTATACCATGGAGAGAGCGCACGACGATGTCCGTGTTCCCTGGCCCCGGCCTGTCGGCATAATCGAAGTGGCAAGCATTGGGCAGGCAGTCGTGGTTGAGCAGTGACGCGCGAGGGTACACCGCGCAGCACCGCGCCTTGCGGACCTCCAGCGGCACGTCGGGGCGGTATGGCTCCAGGATCGAGAAGCTGTTGGTCCGGTCCTTGGAGAGGAGAGCCACCGTGAGGTCCAGCGAGAAGCCCGCGGGCAGCGTGTGCGGCGGCGCCACCGACGCCACCGCGGCGTGGAGGCCCGCGGCGTCTTGCTGCTGGGTCGGAGAGGGTGCCGAGGAGAGAGAGAGGATGGCGCTGAGAGAGGGCTCCTGGAGCGAGTAGGCCGAGAGGAGGAAGAGGAGGGGCTCCTGTTGCGCCTCGGGGGCGGCGGCGAGGCCGCTGGAGAGCGCGGCGCAGAGGAGGCGCGGGTGGGAGGCGGCGGCGCAGGCAGGGGAGCAGAAGGCGGCGGCGCGGCAGGAAGGGCAGGGGGTGTGGGGCGGCGGTGGGAGCGAGCGGAAGCAGGCGGAGCAGTAGGAGGAGAGGGAGGCGAGCGAGGACGGGTAGAGGAGGATGGGCGACTCCGACAGGAGCACCTCGCCCTCGAGGATGTCGCGGGCGGCGAGGAGCGCGCGGCCGCGGCCCGGGAGGTCGACTACCCTGAGGGCGTCGCCGGCCATGTTTGGCAGTGCCATTCCAGCGGCGGCGGAGGAGGAAGAGCAACAAACTGCTGGCAAGCACTCTCGCAAAGGGAGAGCGGTGCTCTTTTAGGCTGCTCCGTGGGCCGGAGTGGAGTATTCGGAAGTCCATTTCGCAGCATTAGGGTTTCTGGTCCCGTATTTCCTATACGACGCTCATTGCGTCAAGTTGTCAGCAAACGCACAGCCCATTTAGCAGCGTAGTGTAGGTTTTTCTGAAGGCCGCTGCTACGGATCAGCCGGATGATTTTGTAGAGAGTGCTTGCCCTGGCACGCGATGCTTCATCGCAACACCAGCGAGCCCCCTTAGATTTGCCTTTTGTTGCAATCCCGCCGGCATCGCAGCACCGATGAGCTGACGGCGTCGCGCCCCATCCAGCATGCAGCAAGGTGGATGTTGCAACGCAGCTTGCCGGCACCCTATCCGCAGCGTCCGTCAATGCTCTGCAGCACCGGCCGGCAGCACCCCAGCTGCGAGATGCCAACTGCTGCAGCCCCGCCGACATCACAGCACCAGAGACCTCGACGACGTCGCGCCCCATCCGGCAGCTCGCAGAGTCCCTTCAACATGAAGCGTTGGCAATCAATGGTGGCTGGCCCGGCCTGGGAGCACCACCTCGCCAATGGCAGAGTTGATTTGGGGAAAAAGAGAGAGGGAGCGAGAGCTAGCAAAGGGGATCGAGCGTCTGGAGCCGATGGGATTGCTTCGCCCGAGAAGATAAGGAAGCGAGAGGTAAGCGGTGCGGCAGTCCCGCTGGGACACGTGGCGCCTGGCAGAGGCGACTTAAGGAGATGAAAAATCAATCGGTTGAAAACAAGAGTTTTCCTTTTCTAAAACGGTTTTGGGAACAGTTTACGGCATCTTCAATGCTCACACACTTGCTTGGGCGCTAGAGGAAAATAAAAACTGAAATTTTAGCTTAGTGTTTCTGTTAGCGTCTATATCTTCAACGCTATAATAGCATCAGGCGCTGCAGAAACTACATAATGTCTCATTTGTACAACACAAAGGCCAACAAGAAAACGTCTGACCACTCTTTGTCTTTCTATGTCCCATCACTTCGTCCTCTCTCTCTCACTCACTCTCTCTCTCTCTCTCTTTGCAGATCGTGGCTCGTCTCCGGTACCCAGAGCCACCTGACACCGCCCACACAACATCTCCTCCCCTCCACACCACCAGGCCTGAATCTCTCCCAGCAGGGTCTGCCTCCCCATGCATAATTTGGTGCCACCGACAAGGGATTTTCCTTTCCTAGTTGGTCTCTATGGGGATCTCGCACCCTCTCTGCCACAAGGTCTAGGAGGACCACGCGGCGGAGCCAACGGTGAACTAATGTTGTTTCTGTCAAGGGCGCCCCCTCCAGGAGTGATACGCTCCCCGGCCTCGCCATAAGTATGAGATCGACATGATCTTTTCCCTCTCTCTAGTGGGATTTTTGAAGCTTGTACTTCGCACTGGATTCAAAAATTTCTACTCCCTCCGTTCCTAAATATTTGTCTTTCTAGACATTCAAATGGACTACAATATACGGATGTATGTAGACATATTTTAGAATGTAGATTCACTCATTTTACTTCGTATGTAGTCACTTGTTGAAAATCTCTAGAAAGACAAATATTTAGAAACGGAGGGAGTATTTTGCATCCATGATAGTGCCCACCTCCAGTCAAAATAGCCTCGTGCAAAAAAAAACAGCGTTGGGGCGCCCTCAGCATTGATGCAAGCTAGATTCCTGGCTTCGAACAAGAATCGGGCAAAACAGCCAGGAAATCGATCTTGGCACCCGTGATTAGCGTTTATGTTGTAGATGACCTTCGAAGGTTTCTGAACCCTTGTTTTCATGTTAGTTCCTTTTATTCGGTTCCTGGTTCTTGTTTTTTTTTGTAAATTCATAATTTCTCAAAAAATTAAAAATCATCAAAAATTATTCAGATCTTCAACACTAGTTTGTTTTTTTCCAAAAAAATAGATTTTTTTTAAATTTGTGTTTCTTAATGCTCGTAATTTAAAAATGTTCACTTCTTTCCAAATATCTTGATTTTAAATTGTTTGGAATTTCTAATAAACAAGTTCTACAAAATATTTGGAATTTAATAAAAAAATACTTTTTCAAGAAAATAAAATCTTCAAAAATTGTTCAGAACTTGAGCATTTGTTCACTTTTTCAGAAAATGTTTGAAAATTTCTAGTTATATTCGCGTTTTTAAATAATGTTCAATACTCTAAATTTATTCACTTTTTCAGAAAAAACTTCACAAAATGTTCAGATTTTAAAACATGTTGTTTTTTTTCAAAAAAATGGTAATTAAAAAAAATTAAAGATGTTATAAATTTAAAAATTGTTCCTTTTTCAAAAGAATATTTGGAAATTCCGAATTTTTTCCATAAATTCAAATTTCTATTTAGGTTTTAAAAAATGTTTGATATTTCAAAATTTTCACCTTTTTCATAAACTCTTCCAAATTTGATAACTGTGTTTGTTGTTCTCTCCAGATGTTTTTAACAGACCCCTGATAGTGAATTACTCCCTCGGTCCCATAATATAAGAGTGTTTTTTACATTAGTGTAGTGTCAAAACCGCTCTTATATTATGGGACGGAGGGAGTAATATTCTAAGAATGGTTCATCTACTTTCAAAATTATGTTGTCGGGCCTCACACCTCAAATAGATTCAGTGCGAGTGTTTATACTTGTCGTCTATGCAGATTTCCATGTAAACTGGTATGAAATTAATAGCTATGTTCTATGTATACAAGTTCGTTGTGACATTCTCCAGCTGAGCTCCTAATCTAGAGAGAGATGGTTGAAAGGATCGATATGGACCTAGAAGGAATGAATATGTACAATTACAAATTTTAGTTACTATTTAGCAATTTTAAGCACATGTGAAATATGGATGTAAGCGTAACAATTGCAAAGATGGTTTAAGTTCTAGAAATACATGATAGCAACAATAGTAGAAGTTCAACAACACAATATGAAATATCAATTGCAAGGTCAAGTGACCTAAGTAACCGCATGGAAGGAGCTAGGGCTAGAGATAATTGAAACTCTAGAGACGAGGAGTATCCCCATGTTCACTTTCTTAGGGTGAAGCTAGTCACCATTTGGGGGTGGATGTTACCACGAAGGCACATCAACAACACAAGAGCTCATCATGTTCTCTTGATATCACAACGAATGTGATTCTCAACCACTAGTGATAGACCTTCAGGCGGCCTCCAAACCTTTACAAACTTTTCGGGGGTAAATCACACTTTGATTCCTCACCAGAGCACCTCTATCGCCTAAGAGTCTCTAACCTTCAAGAGTAATAAGATGCACCGCAAAAACAAAAGATGAACGAACTTTTGCTTTGGTGAATGTGTAGATCGGGCACTTATCCTTCACTCCCCAAAAGATCAAGAGTTTTGGGTAGCTAGGGAGGGATATCTCCAAGAAATCGAGTTCAAGAAATGGAGTCGTCGCCTTCATATTGACAAGAAGAAGACTGTTTATGATGTGACTCCATATCCAACCGTTACCACACGTTTTCTGTGAGCCCGAAAGTCCTCGCCCTCGGAAGCTCCGGGGTATCTAGAAACATTGCACATGAGGTGCAAGTCCACCGAGTCCCCCAGAAGCTGGCCAGACTTTGCCACGAAAGTTCCTGGATTTCCATAGATCACATATTTTGCAATCTCTCTGCCCGCCCCGGAAGCTAGCCGGACCTTGCTCCGGAAGTTTTGGGCTACCCCTAAGGTTCTGAGGTATCCAGAAACAATGTATCCCATCAGTTTAGGGTCCCTCTCCTCACTAATATGAGTATGGCTTGGGTGCATAAATTTAGGTGTATGTGTAGTTGATTCCAACGGTATCTTCAAGGTGCACCCCCTCTTAATAGCGTGGTTGCCCTATGGACTGAAGTATGAAAAATAAAAAACACCGGCAAATGCTTCTTTTTTTTTTTTCCTTTTTTCGAATTGAGGGGTGTTTAACCATCCATGCAACATTCCATGATTCGGCAGCACTGTTTATAGACTCAAGCAAGCATGTGGACACTGAGTGGATTGTTTAACCTAAAAGTCTGTGTTTCCTAAAAGAAAGTTATTGTTGGTCATTGTTTAAAAACAAGTTATTGTTGGTCATTTCGTGAAGTCACAAGATTGGAAAGAACAACGCGTGACAGGGAACTGCTAAATTTATGTAAATATATACGTACATTCATTTCTACAACAAGTAATTCAGGATCGAGGGTATATAAAATAACCAAAGTGCGGTCTCAGGTTGGGCAAGGGAAGCGACCAGCGAGCACTCATCTATCAGCAAATCATGGTCGTCGGTTTGTCAAGTTCTACTATAGCACAACCCTTGCTGCAAGGAAGGTGTTTCTTGGTAGCCTCATCGATCCTGCCTCTTGCACTATCACGCAAAGAAAACTTGAAACTCTCAGCATTGGACTGTGCACATTGGACTGTTGCACGCAGCCGTATGAACTGGTCGTTGCAGCCGCTGCTGCCTTTGTTGACAGGTTATGCACATTGCTGCCGGCTATAAGCCTGACGCCCCCACAAAAGACTACTCCAAATGGACAGACTTGTTATGAAAATAATAAATATAATAAAGTTGCCAAAGAGAGTTGACGAAAAAGAGATGAACGGAATACAGAGCATCTCCAGGATAATGCACTATTACTAGGACAGCACAGAGGCACCCATTTTATACAGAAATACTGAATACAGACCATGAATATCCGATGATGAACCCCCTAATATTACAACGAGGAGCAAACGACAGTAGAAGCCAGTAGTGTACAATACGTACTTAACCCAGCCATGAACGACAGTTACAGACATGAACAACATACGATATAATCATAGATAGACATAATACAGTTTATATAAAGGCTACAGCTTATAGCTCGCAGATAGTGGAATTTATTCAACTTAAACGCGTAAATAGGGCAGGCTGTGCACTTGCTACAGCGCAGCACATACCTCAGGCAACAGCGACGGCA